TATATGAATTATCATCATGAAAAAGTTGTAAAAATAATGAATAAATCACTGTGGAAACTTCATCTTCCTCCTTGCCAATTTTTGAGCTAAAGAGATGATATTTAAAACTGAAGGAATGGAGTGTCAAAAGACAAGAAAAGATGTCTTTTATTAGGAATTTATATGTGAATTTTATGAATTTGGGAATCTTTATTATGTATACTGTTCAACATTTTAGTGGTGAGGACTGATGTGAGATTTCTCTTTCAAATCTAAGGCTCTCACACAATGCAGCTGTGAACCTAGCAGGGACGCATCCTTGTCCTGCATTGGGACAAGGCTTCACTGCCCTTCTGCAGTCAGAGAAGTGATACTAAATTGGTAGGATGGAACGAAACTTACTTCTGAGAAACCAAATTATTCATTTCATAACTTAGTCATTCCAAAACAGAGCGTTTCTATGGGCTGTGTGAAAGAAAAAAGGGACAACAGGCCCCAAATGGAGTCATACGTGCTAAGCTGGCGTCACCAAACCGAGACCTGACCCCTAACTTAACCGCAGCTCTGCCCCGCCCCCTGCCGGGAAGGACAAGGTAACCAGCCGGCCCGAAATCTCCGGGTCAGCGCGGGTGAAGGAGCCCAGCCAACAGACCCCCACCTCCCTCCCCGCTCCCTGCCCCCACTCTCTGCTGTGCATTCCTTCTCCCATGCCCTCTGCCTAGGACAAGTGCTTTTCATTTAGTACAGCTCCTCAGCAGAAGGTGAGGAGGAGGACAGGGCAGCCTTGTGTGAGGATGCACTGCTGAAACAGTTCAGGAATGTACCCGAGTTAATATTAAGTGCCTGAGGGGCATTTTCCTAGATGACTCTGGAGGCGGAGGGGCAGGCTACTAGATGCTGGGGAGAGAACACCTCCTCAGGGAGGAGAAGGGCCCTTGAGAGAAGCGGTGTGCCTTTCTGCTCTGCGGTCGGCGTGGACCCAGGAACCCTGGGATGGTCCTGCACAAGACAGATGGTGGCTCTTGGGGCCTCCTGCGTGGGTTTATCAAACTGCCGCTCGGAGACCTTGATAAAGGAAGAATTTGGACTACTTCATTCTCACGTGGTAAGTTACATAGAACACTGGGATGGAACTAAAGGGAACCGAAGTTTGCCACCTGAAGCTGCTTTCAAGATACTGATTTTAAGCTGCTTATTAAGGAAATAAAGACTCAGAACTTTCGACTTTCCCCTTTCCTGCCCAAGAGGTTCGGAGAGGCCTGCTTTGGGGAGATCTTAGGATGTCGCCTTAGCCTGGGACAGTGTGGCGAGAGGGCTTTGGGCTCCTGCCTGCCAGCTGGCGACCCCGCCACGGCACCCCCGTTCCCCACCGTTCCAGCCGCCGAGCAAGGGGTCTCCTCTGTGCCCTGCTCTTCCTCAGCTCCCTGTTACGTCGCCGGTTCTCACTTGTCCAAAATGACCTGCCCAGTGCTGCCTCGCTGTCTGTGCAATTTTCCTGCCCAGTGAGGGTGTTAAACTGACTTTTCTCCATGGTAGTGTCTCTGTTAACTTGAGAATTAGCCCAGCCAAAAAGAACTGAGAAGGTGGCAAGAAAAGTGTATTCTTTTAGCCCCCACAGAACCGAGTGGAGCGTTCGCTATTTTGCATGATGTCACGAGAAACGGTGTGTGCGTGCCGTGCTGTTGTCCCTCTGTCACTGGGCAGAGGATGCCTGTGACCTCGTGTGATACTGTGGTTCATCGCCGGAAATACAAATCCGGGGAGCGCGCGGGCGCTCGGGGCCCTTTCCGCAGGCGCCGTCGGTGCACCCCTCCGGTCTGGCGGCTCCGGGGTGTGTCTTTACAACGAGCCCGGAGATCGAGTTTCCGGGTTCTGCGCGCAGCGTGACCAAATTAATGGCCAAATTAATGAGGAGGCGGTCACTGGAGTCAGGCAGGTGTCTGGGGTGGGGGGAGGGGTGGCAGGCCCAGCCCGGGACCGGACAGGAGTTCTGCTGGAACTGGTGGCGCGGGCTGGTCCAGAGCCAGGGGCGAGAGCGGGGTTCGGAGGGGGCACCGCAGCGGAGCCCTGAGCGCAGAGACCCTCGGTGGGATCAAGACCGGGGTGCCGCCCACTACGTGCACCTCGTGGGACCGGCAGGTGGGCGGCAAGCTCCGGGCCGCAGCGGAACCTGGGTTCTCGAACCCCATTCGTTCTGGAAGGCCGTGGGAGGAGACGCGTGTTTGAAAGCCAGCCGCGCCGCACGGAGGGCTGGCCGAACCCGGGCTGACCACGCCGCCGGGGGCTCGCAAGGGTCGTCGGGCCGGAGCCGAAGTTTTGTTGGACAAGGGAGCCATGGTTTCTCTGAACGGCTCGGTGGAGAGCCAACTGTGTGTCCCAGAACCGATGCTTGACCAGGTTCATTTTCGTCCGTCCATGGCGGGTAATGCCATCTTAGCTCCTGGGAAAGGGAGGCAGGGCACCGCCCGGGGCCGGCAGACGCAGGCACGCGGCAGGCGCCGACGCCGTAACCACAGGTGCTCGGATGCACGCACAGTGTCCCCCCATGCTCTCTCGCTCCGGCCCCGCCCGCCACGCCCCCGGGGCCACGCCCCCGAGGCCACGCCCCCGAGAACCCGCAGCGCGCGCGGGCAAACCCAACCCTCGCCCCGCCTCCCCTGCACCCACATCCGGTGACAGCGTCTGAGTCACACACAAGGCACAGCAAGGGGCCAGCAATACTAAGGCGACCATTAAAACAAAGTAATAACAGTTACGTGAGGTCCTGCACTCACCATTTCACACAAAAGCACTTTCCATCTCCTCTGGCGCAACGGGACCAGCGTCTGCGCTCCTGTTCTGTGCGGCCATTACCGACCAAAACACAGGTGACTGGGCCGAAACAGCAGCGCGGCCCAGCTGCCCCGCGGCAACCACGTGGCTAACTGGCGGGAAACGTCCCCAGCGCCGCGCACCGAGGCCGGAGGGCCCAGCCAGACAACGCGAGATTTCGCGAGATTTCACGCGCTACTCCGAAGAGCGCGCGATGCACGCGGATTCTCGCGGAGGGATCGTCCTCCGTTGCCTGCAAGTGCGGTGCGGCCTGCCCGGTCTCGGTCCGACTTTAGGGGCGGCCGCCGTTTCGTCATTCCACGCCTCGGCTCCCAGTTTCCGTAGACGGGGTGGTGACCATCACAAACACCGACTCCTCACGGTTCCGGAGGCTGAAGTCCAAGACTGAGGGGCCGGCTGGTCGGTTCCCGGCCCGCCCTCTTCCCGCTCTGCCGAAGGACGCGGCTTCCGGGGCGGAGCGCGGGCGCGCGGGACTCATACGAAGGCGCCGGTCCCTCGTGGGGCCGAGGCCTTCAAATGCCCGCGTGCTGCGGGTGGGAGCTCCACAGACAGACTGGGGGAGGCCCGGCCGGCCGCCCCACCTGCCCTGCGGCCCCATGACGGCGCGGGGTCCGAGGAAAACACTGGGTGGCGGGGTTGCGGCAGCTCTGCCTTCTTCTCCGGAACCCTGGGCTAGGAAGAGAACGGCGACCGGCTGAAGTGTCACCTTTTTTTTTTTTTTTTCCAGTCCTCTAACTTTTAACGTTAAGATCTGAAAGACAAACTTTACTGGAGCCCATTAACATATATTTTTAAGTGGCCCATTGGTTTTCTTATTTTATCACTAATCAGTTTACGCTGACATTGCCAAACCTCTCACTGGGAAGCTGGAAAGTTAAGGTGGGGGGGGGGTGTCTTTTGTTTACGTGTATCGGGATTTTGTTGTGTTCTAACTAGTATACAGTATTAAAAAAATACCATAAGCAGTACTTTTAAAGTCAAGGTTTAGTATTCAGAAAAACTTTTAAGTCGTTTTGTACACCTATGAAGAAATGTATAGCTTGTGGTCCTCCCTTCCTCCACGCAGCTGCTGACCGCCGTATTTAGACAGAGAACTGGAAAACCACCTGAATCTTCTCAGTTTCGGTGAGTGCATTGTGATGGGACGTGGCCTTCCCCTTGTGTCTAACTTCCGTCTTCCATCTTTAGAACTTTTTAGAAACATTTCATGGGAATACAGGTAAAGAAGAAATTTCTGTCAATTGTCCCTGAAGCAACATTTTATTTGCAGCTGACTTTTGTTAATTAACTTTTCCCAAAGGGAACTCTGGGTAGGTGTTTTTCTTCCTTTCACACACACACACACACACACACACACACACACTCACTCACTCACTCACTCACTCACTCACTCACTCCATATGGAACCGGCCGGCGTGGCCGTGGCGGCGGATGTGGCTCCCCTGGGCTCGGGAAACTGGCAGGCGCCAGGCGCGCAGCCGGGCTCTCCCAGGGGGCACCAGGCCTGCAGTATCGCGAGGCTGCTCCGAGGCTGCCTTTTGCTACGACTCCCTCACCCTGAGTTAAGGCGGCAGATGTTCACCGAGTTATTTTGGAGGAAGCTCCCTGAAGTCTGGGCTAAACCTCCCAAGGACGGAGTGTAACCAGTTGAAAAACTTGTTCTCTCGCGTCTGCAACATTCTTTTCCTTGTTGTCTGTAAGAAGTAAGCACTTCAAGCAAACCTGAGCGTACCGAATGAGGACCTTCCTGGACGCACTGCTCCCAGAAAGCAGCAAGAGCCTGTCCCGGCAGGGGTCGGGGCGCTCCTCCCTCAGGAGCGGCCGTGCTGCCCCCTTTCCCCCCAGGACTGCGGCAGGCCCTGTGATTTCGTTCGCCGAAGCCACAACACCTCGGACACTGCTGGTCGGAGTCCACACCAAAAATCTTGTAAAAGTCTTGTAAAATCTTGAATGTGCATTTTGGTTAAATCCAGTAGTTTTGATCCTATAATTGAAATCCATTGGAAAAGAATCCCCAACCATATCTATTTTAAACAAATAATAATATATAAAGAGGCTCGGTAAGGCCAGTGTTATCAAAACCTTATTTTTATCTTACTGCATTTAGCAGATTACTGACAGCCTTAGATTTTGTAAGTCGTATTGTGACCTTAAAATTCTTATTTCTTTAAAGAAATAGGAGACAGCTGTTTGAAGTGCATAGAGTTTATTTGGTACTTCTATCCATCTCTACGTGATACAACGGACCAGCGACAGTTCACACAGCACCCGCCTGCGCTCCATATCTATGACGGTCTTGTCAGGGTGGTGTTTTGCAAAGATAGAAAGTCCAGATTTCACAGTATGGGCGAAAACCGTTTTATCATAAAATAAATTGAATACATTAGAATTTCTTCCATTTTCTATCAGAAAACAGCAAAATTACATTGTTAGGTATTTTATTTACACTGAAAACTTGGAAGACTCAACAAAGCATCAGGAGTTCTTCAACAAACAGACCTAGGACCTCCCCTGCTGCTTCAGGGTCTTTTCCTTTAAAATTACACTTGTTATAAATTATAATTCTAAGCACCAGCTTGGCAATTTAAAGTTTTCTTTCAGTTTATAAAAGATTCCTGCTTTGAAAGGCAAAGTGAAGGTAAAAATGTGAATGTAATGGAACAAATCACTGGCCTGGATACTTTTTATTGCAACAGTGCAGTGTTTTACAACTACATTCACTCTTTTGAATGAAATTTGCTTGTAAGCTCAAAACAAAATGTTTTTGTCTTGAAAAATTCCCTTAAAATATTAACCATTTTTGGAACTTTATAACTGTACTTTTCAGTGTTTAAAGATACAACTTGATCCTTGAAGATGTTACATAAAGTCCCGCTTCTTGGATAATTTGTTATACAAAACAATAAAAACCCCCTCAAACTACCACAATATATTACTGATGTTAACAGTCATGTACGTATTACACATCAGTGTCCCAGATTACCCTGTTAATGTGCAACCAGGTTTTAAAATGTAATAGTTCAAGTCCCATTGATTACATAAAAGTGAAGCTCTAAGAGACACTGTGCATTCTGTACTTCAGAAACACTAACACTTAATATTAAGGCATTACTTACCGAACAGACCCCATGGAAAGGAATTGGGATGCCTGTGCTGGAGAGCTAGTCGTATTTTAAGGCAGTCAAAAAGATCATGTTTTTCACTTTAAGGCTCTTGCATACTTAAATTTTATTCTATGCAGGCATTAGTCTGTGTAATTTAAATATTCCTCAAGTGGTCAATTATGGAAAATCAAAGCCTTTATACAAAGCAAATGCACATTTAGAACTAGATAACACCTCTCCCTCAACCAATTAAAAAACAGGTGTGTGTGTGTCCCTTTGGAGATATATATTCATCCCTTTGGGAAATTTCATCATTATCAAGAGCTGGCAATAAAAGGAAGAAATTATAACTCAAATGCACTATTAAAAGTTATATCTAGTCACACCATACCAATTAGTCCATATTTAGAATAGTGCAATAAAAACTTTTTTCTTGGCTACTATTCATCAAATGTATATTCAAAGTTTAATTTGGCTGGTATGGATTCTAAACAGTTTACACTGCAAATAAAGCCTAACAAGTAATTTAAACAAAAGTTCCAATTAACATAAAATAGTAAGGCTTTAACCTCAGTCACCACCGTTAATAATCCAAGGGTTCATTAAGCAAAACCAGCTTACTATTTCTTTTGTGCAAGCACAGATTCTAATAACTTCTGAAAGTACTGAAATTTAAATAAATTTTAAAATTAAATATGTGTTCATAAGGTTAATATGACACGTGGTGAACAGAAACAAAGAGAAAAATCTCTTTAGGTTTACAAATAGCTTTAGTGTATTTTCATTTTTATTGTATTTACAAAATTCATTCTCACTGAAAATTATCACCCTAATTTCAGTAATACAATTTTTTAATGTGACTCCTGCAGTTTATGTTTCTACCAATTTCTACATAATTTGGTCTTTTCAGGGTTTATGGAAGTATGTCATTTATTATAATTTTATTCAAATAGTATGCTTCACTCCATTAGTTTTTTACATGAAAAACATTACCACAGTATTATTTTAAAAACTAACTTCTTAATAATTTTTCAAAAGCAGATAAAAAGCTCACCAATTTAAAAAAATGTTGAAGGTGAGCCTTCTGCAGCTGTGAAGCTGGGGGGATCCCAGACAAGCCGAGCACATTGGATCTCATCCTCCCACCCCTTCAACCCTCAATAAAATGGTTTGACCCGCCCCCAAAATTGTGGAAGGTGAACATGTTATTTACAAGACCTTTTATGCCAGAAGTTGTCATGTGCGTGTAAGCTCAGTGAAGTACTTAGTACACCAAAGATTCTGATGGTGGCCTTTTAATTTTGCAAATGTGAAGATCAAGAGTGCTTTGTGTACATCTGTCTGTAACTGCAAACAAAGGCTGAATAGCTGCTCTTACTCAAAGGCCACAAAATTTATGCAAATATCTAACAAAAGGTATACAACATAACTGGATTTGGGGAAAAACTGTAACAATATATTGTTCCAAGAGGCCTTCCCATTATTAATTTGAAAAAAATATGATCGTCAATCTGTATGGAACAAAATGCAATCTGTAAAATTCACCCTAAACCTTAATATGGGTGACTTTCCTATCATTCATTTTATTACCCAGGTAGAACAAGACTAGAAAAAAGAAAAACAGAAGAGAAAAATATCAGAAGGACTTTTAGAAGAAAAATAGAAGTATAAAAGTAGTCTTCCAACAAATAAGAGATTAGCTAATTATTAGGGAAATAGTAAATCCATACAGTAAATGCAACTAATCTCACAGCTTACCTTATCCCTTTTCCTAATTCTTTGTGCATGTTTACACTGAGGCTATATGACACTTTTCTAAATGTTACTGCCTTAAATCAGCCCAAACCTATGGTATACAGGAGTAGAATTTTTCATTTTGTTATTATTTACTGTAAACATATCGCTTACCAAGAAATTTGTCCTTGTGAATAAGACCTTATTTTTAATTTGACCTAATAAGTGATCATACTGATTTCCCTTTATGGTTTAGATGTAGCTTCATTGTGCTTTTATAGATGTTTCTCACTTCCTCAAATTGATTCAGGAATTTTGCCTTATATTTTCAAAATAATTCTACATTGTTTTTGCAAAATCTCAAAATGAGAGGAAAAATAAAGCTCCTGATAAAATAGTATTCAGTTGTTTGTAATTTCCCTGTTATTTTAAAAGATTAAGCAAATGTTTGTTGATGGCATCTCCTTTTTTTTAGACAAGAGTATTGAGTTTGTTTTTCTAGGTCCATGGTGGGGGGGGGGGTGTACTACTTGGAATAAACTCTTCTTTCTCTTGATCAGAGAACAGTGACTTCTTAGTCAATACTTTTACAATGAAATTTTTTCTTCCACTTTTTCCCACTCAGAGAAATGTTAAGAAATTATTGAGTCTATTTTCCTAAAACATTTTGTCTTTAAAAATACATTAAGTTCTAATCTGTATTGCAAGACCTGTTCCCAATTTAAACTTTTATACAGATATTAAAAATGATTTTCCTATGATCTAAGCATCAGATGTTACTTTATAAAAATAACAAAACTGAATCACAGAGGTGAAATTGGGCTCTACAGTCACACAGTAGGTTAGAAAAACCAAAAATTTCCAGAGGGGTAACACTGAATTCCATTTGCTAGTATCTTCCTCAACAACATACCTATAAAATACTTACTACACTAAATAATATGACATTGTTAATTAATGGAATTTTCAAAGAATTTCAACAAGGGTAGAAATTTTAAGATTAATTTTTGTTTTACTAATTATAGTTATATCCTGAAAATATTTACATATTTTCTAGGAAGTAAGAGTTTATTAATTTTTCTTAAGATTTTTTAAGCAACATTTCCGTAAATACTAAAGAACAGTAATCCTAAAAGTAATTCAGAAAATAAAATTTCTTTATCGCTTGAGTATATTTTATTCATAATGAGGTAAAGTTTTTTATTTTTCTATAGGACTGTATTATATAGCAACATAGATTATTAAGACATTAATTGTGCTTGAGGATTACTATGAACTACGAAAGTTATGTTTACAATTTCTGTTTTTCTACTCCTACAGCAATCATGTATATACATTATTTCTTAATACCTAAAAGATACAAGTCTTGAATAATTCTGTTTTCACTCCTACTCTTGTAAGTTAGTGTTTCCCCATTTTGTGGGGATATGAATATTGGGAAGAAAATTTCTAGATCTAGTGTCCCAAAGCCACACTTCTTGGAACCTAGCTCCCTAACCTAAATTTAAAAAAGAAAAAAAAAAATTACCTTTTACATTTCAAAGGTTTGTTCTAGCTCTTCCCAAATTTGAAAATAAAGGTACCTTCTGAGGTGCCTTTTAGTTTTTTTCTTCCTTCCTTCTTAAACCATATCCTAGTCCGTTTAATTCAACTAACCTAAATACTTCAAAAAGGTCACATCTAACCTTATTTCTCTGATTTAGTATTATGAATATAATGAATATTCCTGAATAATCTGTCTGAAAACACTATGGGAATGGTACATAACTGAAGGAAGTATACTTTTATTTCAATTAGGAATAAAAAGTTAGAATACTTTAAGATTTTTGAATTAAGAAGATCTTGCATTTACATTGAGTTCCAGGACTATAACACAATTCTATTAGGTTCTTTATACCAACAGCTAAGATGTTAAACCCAATGTCTGATAGAAGATTAAAAACAAAATGACATCAGAAACAATGTTTTTTTTTTTTTGTTGCGGGAGGGTTGCTAACTAATTGTGCTGGCTCCAAAGCCTCAGGTAAATCACAACATTTACAAGTTGCTATATGTTTCCTTGAAGTCTACATAAAAGAGCTAGCATTAATATAGCAAATAAGTCTGAAAGGAACATTTTCTTGTCATCCCTGGAGACCAAGTTTCCCATGAAAAGAACATAGTACCTATACAAATTCTAACACTACTAAATTCCCCCTAAACCCTGAAACACAAACCCTCTGGTTTAACCCCAAGCACATAAGACTACAATTTACATTTACTAGTCTGCCTTTTTACGTGATAAGAGATTTATTAAAATCCTGCATAAATTCTCAATTACTAAGAAGTACATAAACATTAAAGTTTTGTGTAAGCTTAAACAACCATGATATAAGCAAAGGAACTGGTGTTCGAACAGGTTAAACCTCCCCACAAAGAAGGGGTATCTGCTCAAGAAAATAATGCACTTTAGCATAATGAAAAGAAGTTTAATATACACAAAGTAGAAAAAAATACTTTCTTACAGACTGGTAAGTGGTAACACGCTACTCAAAAATGGCCTTTCAAATCTGAAAGACCTAGTTTATTATTATTTTTTACTCTATCAAAAAAGAATGTCTTGCTACAATGAATAACAAAGAGGCTATTGACATGTTTACAATTAGAAAATATCTAAAACCCATTTACAGTTTGGCTAAAAAAAATAGTTAAAAGAAATTAGAGCAATATTTTACAGTAAGGAAAAATCTAATCGGATTATAGTAGAGATTTTGTCATACTTTCAGATTATGAATGGGTCAGTTAAATGCTGAAACACTTTGTTGTTTTCACCTAAGGGTATAAAAAAAAGAAAGTATGACTGTGTGGCTATGTTGCTATGACTTGGAGGAAACTGTCAAATCACACCCTCGAGTCACAGCAGTAAAATACACCAAAACAAATGAAATAATCCAAAGAGAATTCCTCAGCTGCCACACACTTTGGAGTCCCCTTCCCAGAAACTTCCATTATGTTTCTGGTTAATGGCAATAATTCTACAAGAGTAAATAAAACATAAAAACACAAAATATTTTTCACTGAATAAGAAAGCTGCTATTTATGTGATCTTAAAAATTCTTAAAGGAATTTGTGAAAACCCACTCATACCTTAATCAACCATCTTGGTTTTTGTGTTAGCCCCTTGGTATAAAGTGTACAGAGGAGTCGGATGCGCCATCACAGTTGCGTGGTCCAGTGCACTTCAGAGAATGTGGACGTGATCAAAGATGTCCTCTCCCAGTGAAAACATTTAAGAAAACTTTTAAGCACTTTTCAAATAAGTGACATGATATGGAACTACTTACAAATTTGGCTCTTCTTTTAAATACAAATGTGAGTATTTACCAAAGCAAACCTGTTGGACAGTTTACAGTGTTGATCAACAAGAAGTTCTCTATTAGAGGGAGCTGCAGTGTATTCTGAAGCTACTTCCCAGCTGCTATTTAGCAGACAGAAAGAACTTTGGGCTTATCTATTTTTTCCTTCCCTCTTTTTCTTTTTCTTTTTTTTTTTTGGTAAGGTAAACTTCCCATTACACACATACTAGGCCATCATCTTCACATCTTTCACGGGATTCAGATGAGCTGGGAAGTAGCTGCATGTCTGCAGTGAGATCACCAATGGCAGTGGGCCACCTGAATCAGGCTGGTGCTTATGGTTAAATGACATCTAGTGTGAAGTTTCGAATGACATCCAGAGCTCCAGTGTCAAAGCCACACATATCCAACATGCCTCTGTCATCTGGGTCTGCAATGGTGAAACCATTTGACGTCATTCCACAAACAATCAATTTAGCTGGAATATCCATTTTCTGTAAGTAAAGATCAGAACACATAGTAAAAAAAATTGTATGAAAGCAAAAGCAAATAACTTCCAAAATTAAAACTTAAAATTCTACTACAGCTTCTCATTACAAAGTTTTTATTTTTTCTCTACATAAAATCTGTCAGTCTTTCAGGGCTAGATGATGTGATCTTCAGAAGACTAGAAAATAAAATTTTATAGACAACCTGTCTGAAATTCCGCTTCTCTGCTCTATATTACTCATTCTGTGGGCCACAGAATCCATTCCTGAGCAGCCAAGATGCCCTGTACTTACCAAACCTGTCAGGATACTCGGGGGCATTAGGTACTTTTCCCAACATATCAAACACTGGGGCAGTGTATGTAGAGGTGGAATAAATGTAGGAAAGTATTTATTTCTCTGGGATTATTAACTTCACTGTGTATAATACATACATTTCAGAGGATTCAGAACCCAGCTATCTGGACTCCAAATTCTGTTCTCTCACTTGCTGCTCTCAAACTTAAAGAGCTGGTGAAGCGCAGTCCCACCCCGAGTTCTGCCCTAGCAGGGCTCCCCTGGGGTCCTGGAATGAGCATTCCCAATGAGGTGCTAGGGAATGCTAAGGCTGCTCAGTAGGGAAACCACACTTTGGGAACCACTGCTCTTCGTCAAGTTCTATTTCTACTGACAGTCACACTAGCTACAAGTCAAGAGCTCAACAGCCCACATGACTAGTGGCTACTGTATTGGCTAGTGTGAATACAGAACATTGCCGTCATTTCAGAAACCTCGACTGGAGAGCACTGATTAGAACACAGGAGTATCCATATACCTTAAAACACAGATTATAGCTTTGCTTTAATTTTGTTTAGTCCCTTAGTGAACCTCACAAATGATACTTTATTTTTTCAAGGAACACAAAGAATCATTAAAGTTTATAGTTATGGTAAAAGAAATGTTCTGATTATAAAAAAATATCATTTATAAAGGATACTTTTATTACTGTATAGAACTGAAACTGGTAGAAATAAATTATGTACATGTAGCCAATCTTTCTTAGTTTAAGTACTGCTGAGTCCAGTACTGGTGTTGTATATGGTCAGTATCTTCCTTTTGGAAAACAGTGGATGTCTGAGAACTGGGCTTTGTCTGGAGAGAGAGAGAATACTAGAACGTGTCTTTCACCTTTCGATACTGCCTCAGAGCAACAGCTGGGTGGATGTTCCCGACAAAGGTCTCGTTGTCAGTGAACACAATGAACACATCAGCAGCTGCGTTTGTCTTCTGGGCCCAGATCATTGGGAGAGAGCAATCAGTGCCACCTGCTGGGATCTAACTCAGAACAAAGCACGAGAAAAAAATAAATGACGCAGTTTCTATAATGATATGTCTGAATAATAAGACACTTATAATTAAAAGTGCTATTTTTCACATAACCTGTATAAATTTTTATTTTATGCTCATGAGAAAATTGAGATAAAACAATCTGTCCTTACAAATTTATTAATACCAAGCATGAAATCAGTAAGAAAATTACTATGTAATATATGTTAAGTAAGCTTAATTAGTTTTTTACCTGATTCATAGCCATTAAAACCTGTTGCAAAGTCATATCTGTAGTTACGGGACATGGTACCATTTCATTTGAAAAAGCAACTACGTGAGAATCTTTTTCTGTTCGTGTGACAACCTGAAAAATTCAATGGTAGTAATTTTCAGCAGATTTGAGAGAAATACAGTATCCTGAAGTACATAAAACTTCATCTTTAAAGGAAATGTGTTATGATGCTTATTTTATTTCTGCACTCATACTGTGTTTTCGAACTGTAGGACAGCTTTCAAAGTACTTTCACAAACTCTTACAAACTAGGAAGAAGCCACAGAAGAGAAGTTAAAGAATCTCATCTATGATTCATTTAATTGCTATTCAGTGACAATGAGCCTGGAACCTAACTATTGTTACTGGTTCCAGATCTTTACACTTCCAGTCAGTAACAATTTCTCTAAATACTCTCTTCTTCCTCAAAAATATTTAATCATTCATTGTAAAATTAAAGTTTGACTGTTCTTTAGATATGCTTTTTCAATATACCTATACTGTCTTTACCTAAGTATATAAGTGTACGTAACTATATAAGCACACCCAAAAATACATACAGCATCTGGCAGAAGAAAGGCTTGCTTGAGTGTGGCTGGTAGGTGAAAGTATGGATGTAATAATTTATAGCTTTAATTTGAACATTTGACCTAAAATGGCAAATGGTGTGCTTGAGTGTGACATTGTTATATTTTAGAATTACATGCTTATGATTTTGTAATAAAAAAGTGGCATTATTTGTTCTGGACCCTGTTTATGCACAATATACTTAAAACTCTACTTATTTTTGATACCAAATGGCATTTACATAAAATTAAAATGTGCCAAATATGCCAAATGGATGAAAACTAGTGAAAACCTAATTCTTGGCCATGTTTAAGTGTACATTTCTGCCACTCAGTAACATCTCTGCAAGGTGGCAGAAACTGCCAACTGCCTCCAGTGTCCTCACCATGCACATCGCCGCGGCAACAGTGCTGGCATTGAGGACACTCCCCAGAACTCTCTGATTCATAGAAGCACTGACGTCAACAGCCAGCAAGAAACGCTTCCCAGTTGGCTCAACTGTCTAAAGAGAAAACAAAATGAAAGGATCATTAAAAGCAATCACAGAAATTTTAAGTAGATTAAATTTCTAGCAAAACATATTAACCTATCCTTCATTTAAAAAATTCTCTCACGCCCCTGGCTGGTGTAGCTCAGTGGATTGAGTGCGGGCTGCAAACCAAAGTGTCGCAGGTTCGATTCCCAGTCAGGGCACATGCCTGGGGTGCAGGCCACGGCCCCCAGCAACCGCACATCAACGCCCCACCCCCTCTCTTTCTCCCTCCCTTCCCTCTCTAAAAATAAATCAACAAAATCTTAAAAAAAATAAAAAATTCTCTCACATAAAAGGCCTCATTTCTGATTTGCCAATTATTTGAAAAGTGTTTCAAAATGCTTTGTTTTGGAGTAATTATGTATGGTGCCAGGTGGGTACTGGAAATATCAGGGGAACACTTTGTAAAGTATACGAATCGTCTAACCACTGTGCAGTATACCTGAAATTAACACAAAATCACACCAAATGTGAACTGTGATCGAAAACGTTAATTAAAAAATGCTTAGCTTCTACTAGAGGTAAAAGAAAGGAAGACAGCCTACTCAATAATTTTATTTAAGCAGGTTATCATCTTTCTGTTTTTAAAAACTTTTTTCTTCAGAAGTAAACTAGGAATTTCTATCAAGAAATATTTTTGGGGGGTAAAATATTTTTAAAAACCATAAAATGTACTTTTTAATCATTTTTCGAGTTGTAAGGTGGGGCTCAATCCACTGAGCCATACCAGTCAGGGCTACTTTCTAATCATTTTTACTTCCGGTGACATTAAGTACCTTCGCAACGTCATGTAACCCACCACTATTATCTACTTCCAGAAGCTTTTCATCATCCCAGATAAAAAATGTATACCCTTTCCTACCTCCTTCTAGTCCCTGGCAACTTCTATCTTCCCTTTGTCTCTATGGATTTGCCTACTCTAGCTAGCTCATATAGTGCAATCATGTAATATTTGTCCTTTTGTGCCTAGCTTATTTCACTTAACATAGTTTTCAAGGTTCATCCACGTTGTGGCATGTATCTAATTCCATTCCTTTGTAAGGCAGACTACCACATTTTGTTTATCTATTCGCCTGCTGATGGGCACGTGGGTGGTTTTTGCCTGTTGGCCATTGTGAATAATGCTCCTATGAACATCTGTGTACAAGTATCTGAGTCCCCATTCTCAGTTCTTTTGGGTACGTACATAAGTGGTGGAATAGCTGGATGGTATGGTAATTCAACATTTAACTTTCTGAGGAACAGCCGAACTGTTTTCCACAGGGTTGCACCATTTTACATTCCTACCAGGAATACACTACAGCTTCAATTCTCACTACCTTTGTTTTTTCGGTAAAAGCCATCCAGCAAGAGTGAAGTGGTATCTCATATAGTATTGATATGCATTCCCCTAATGACTAACGATGTTGACATTGTTTCATGTACTTAGTGGCCATCTGTGTATCTTCTTTGGAGAAATGTTTATTCAAGCACTTTGCCCATTTTTGAAATGGGTTCTTTGTATTTTTATTGTCATTTTTTTAAAGATTTTATTTATTTATTTTTAGAGAGGGAGAGGAGGGAGAGAGAGAGAGAGAGGAACATCAATGTGCAGTTGCTGGGGGTCATGGCCTGCAACTCAGGCATATACCCTGACTGGGGATCAAACCTGCGACACTTATTGTCATTCTTTATATTTTTCTGAGTATTAAAGCCCAATCAGATAAATGATCTGCAAATACTTTCTCCTATTCTGCAGGTTTTCTTTTCACCCTCTTAATGTCCTTTGATGCATCAAAGATTTACAATTTGATGGAGTCCAATTTACTTTTTCTTTTTTTTTGCCTGTGCTTTTGGTGTTGTATTTAAGAGTCTATTACTACAGACCGATTTCAGTAGTATTGTCATCTTAGGAGTATCAAGTCTTTCCATTTATGACTTCGGTTTCATTCAGCAATGGTTAGTTTTCAGGGTATAAGTCTTGCATATTCATAGTTAAATTCCTAAGTCTTTTATTCTTTTGGATGCTATTGTAAATGGAAATGTTTTAACTTAGCTTTGGATTGTTCAGGGCTAACATATAGACATACTACTGACTTTTGCTTGTTGATTTTGTATTCTGCAACTTTGCTGATTTTGCTAGGTTTTAGAAGTTTCTTATGGATTCTTTAGGGTTTTGTATATTTAAGATCATGGCATCTGAGAACAGAGGTAATTTTTTTTCCTTTCCAATTTGGATGCCTTTTATTTTTTTCTTGCCTAACTTTTAGAATTTTCAGTACTTTGTAGAATTTAGGTGGAAAAGTAGGCACCCTTACCTTGCTCCTGATCTTAGGTGAAAAGATTTCATCTTTCATCATTGTGTATAATGAGAGCTGTGTGTTTTTCATACATGGACCTTATCATGTTAAGGAAGATCACTTCCATTCCTAGTTTACTGAGTACATTTTTTTTGAATTATCAGATGCTTTTCTGCAACTGAGATGATCATGTGGTCATTACTTAATTTTATTGTAAATACACTGATTTTCATATTTTGAACCATCCTTTCATGCTGAGGATCTCACTTGTACATCTCTTTAATATGCTGAATTTGGTTGTATTTCGTTGAATAGCAAGAGATTTTTAAAACATAAAATTTTAACTTATGGCCCTGAAGTAGGATTTTCAGCCCTAAAATCACTTCTTATCAAGACATAGGAGATACACTACTGCTTAACAGGAAAAACAGAGGACAGAGGACCAAGTTAAGGACTCCCCCAAAATGCAAAATTTTAAATCTGGTAATTTCTTATCAAAATGATCTTAGGATAATGGGTATTGCCCAAAGGTAGGGAGAAATACTTTACTCATAAACTTACAATGTTAGTTATATATCCACCTTTACATGAACTAAGAAAAAACCAAATAAATATCTAATTAATATAGTCAAACTATTAATATCTTTAAAAACTTTTTTGCAGCCCTGGCCAGTGTGGATCAGTTGTTTGGAGCACTGTCCTGTAAACTGAAGGGTCACAGGTTTGATTCACAGTCAGGCACATGCCTGGGTTGCAGGTTCAGTCCCTAGTCACTGTGGGTACAAGAGGCAACCGGTTGATGTTTTTCTCTCACACCGATGTTTCCCTCCCTTCCTTCCTCTCTCTCTAAAATCAATAAGCATTCCTTGGGTAAGGATAATTTTCTTTCTTTTTTTTTTCACAGAAGATACAGAGTCCTATGTAAATGGGTCATTTGTTTTAAAACAAAAATCAAACCATCACCTTAAATGTTTTATAAAAGGCAGCATCCAAAGCTTTCAAAATTTCTTCATCAGGACGCCATTTCAGTTTTCCTCTGAGCCCATGACCTGTTTTATAAGTTTCTAATGCAACTAAAATATGAAATGGATGTATACGAGCCTAGAAATAAGACAAAGACAGAAAGTAAATGCAAAATTAAGCTTAACAACCTACAGCCTTCGGACCAACTAGTAAATGCAAAATTCAAATGAAAACTAGTAATTATATTTGTTATTGTAGCTGATGTATTTCATAAAGAAAAAAGAAGATGAGGACATAATTCATCTTAGATTTCAGGGTCAAATGCAATTTGGTATGATAAAAGTCTCAGAACACCTGTAACATGTTAACTGCATTTCCAAAATTAGGAGTCAAAGTTTTCAACCAGTAGTAGCTGATAAAGGCAATGCTTACCTTTTTTAACAGTTTGTCATTACACAGCTTCTCACATACTAAAGACACTTCTGAATTTCCTGGCTCAAGCACTGAATTAGCAGTCATCTTTCCTAGGTTTCTTAGTAATGCAGTAAGAGGCATTTCTTGTAACAGAGCTTTCCACACCTATTGCAGTAACAAAGGCAGAAACGTCAGGAGTTCTACATCAGTATAACATACCTGTACCAATGATAACAATATTAATAACATATTTTCCAAGGCTTTCTTTTGCGTTTCAGAGTACTTTCTAAATAAAAATGTGTGAATTGGTCGAAGTTTTATCAGATAACCTAACTTGTTCTTTAACATTTACTGAATGCTAACTACATCTGGGCACTTCATTAGATGTTTTAAATAAACATTAATTAAAAATATATTTAAAATATTCCTGATAAAGAATTAATGGATATACAGTTACCCAAAGTTTATCTTTCTGATACACCATAAATCAGTCCAAGCACACGCTATTAACATATCCCACTTTACTTACCTCTTTGGACTTTAAGTGACTTGTCAGAAGGTGTTCTCTAACCAGCCTGTGCTCCTCTATCAGATGGATGACTTCCAGTTCATCTTTTGTGCGTTTCACCTTCTCTACAGCTTCCAGATACTTTAATAATTTTTCCGTCTCTACAGAAAGTGCTTTGTCTTTATACAATTCCTGGACCTCTTTCCAGCCCTTAGTAATATATTTGGTCACAATTGCAAGTCCTTTAACAAAATAAAGAATCAAAGGGACAGATAGGATTAGTAGGTTAAAAAAAAACATGCTTACTGAGAACACCATATGTGAAAGGTGTAAGTAGGTATCCAGGAATTAACTTCTTTAATCTGCGATGCTGGTTTCCACGATATAACAAATACTTGAACAAGAAATCAGTTAACTTTGCTTATTCTATCACTATTTCAATATGAAACTTTGGAAATTAAACTACTATATTTTCATTTTATTGCAGAGGTTTATTTTGGGAGACACCAGCGTTAGAAATTTGGTAGACAGGGCTTATTTTAGGTATATAATCTCAGAACAACTCTCCAAAGCACAGATCTATTTCAATTAATTTCATATTCAATCGTCCCTTTTAGCTGATAATTATATATGTATGAATGGTAGAGATAAGTGTATGTGGACAGGTAGGGAGGCAATTTATAATTTTTTTTAATAGCCAATAAAATACTATATAGGCCAAATTTTTAAAAAACACTTTTATTTTTAGAGAGGAGTAGGAAAGGAGAAAGAGAGGGATAGGAAAGGAGAAAGACTGGGAGAGAAACATCGATGTGTGGCTACCTCTTGCATGGCCCCCACTGGGAACCGGCTGTAACCCCAGCAGTCTCCTGACTGGGACTCAAACCTGTGACCCTCTGGTTCACAGGCTGGCATTCAATCCACTGAGCCACACCAGCCGGGGCTGTAGGCCAAATTTTAAACAAGGAAAATAACGTGCTTTCTTTTAACAGTCAAAAGAGCTTAGATTGGGGGCAGGGGACTGAGAAAATTTGGTTGCAGCCTATGCTCTGCGAATGAGTGGTGTGGGATTGATCTAGGCCTTACTTTCCACTTCTGCAAAAGGGGGCAGGAGGGAAGGAATTACCAAATTTGAAAGTCTATGGAGAAAAGGTGGGCAAAACAAATAATCGAGCAGAGCATGTGACGTGATCGAGAGTGGTGAGGACTGGGGTTAAACCCAAGAGACTACGCCCTGACAAATGTTTTAGCCAAGTGCTTGCTTAGCACTGCCCCCCAAAAATATATCTTCAAAAGAAACCAGAAAATGGACTTTTATGTGGTGTCATCTGACTTATTTTATGTGATGTTGGTAAGGAATTAATTTCCCACTAAAATATTGTGTAGGTCAAATAAAGCACACGTCTAAGACAGACTGAGCTCATGTGCTATTTCTGAACTCTGATTTAAAAATGTGATTGAAAGCTAACTCACATGCAGAAACTTCTAACGTATTGTGACTTTTGCTATCTTTCAGAATTTTACTGCAAAATCTTATGTTTTCTTAAGTAACTAAATGTTTCATGTGAGCACGTCTTCTACTTTGTTTTCCCAACTTAAAAAAAGAGGAGGGCAGAGAGGGAACAAATGAGAAGGGACAACAGAGCCCAGCCATCTGCCATCTGCTGGCCCCCAGCTGCGATGCTCACCACAACTGGAACACCTCCAGGCTGCTGTCAGAGCTCACAGTCACCTGGATGGGCATTCCAGTCCGCACGGTGACATTTTAGGGTGCAGAAGATCAACCTGTAAACGTGTCATTTGATTCTTGATTGTTCGTGTTTGGATTGCCTGTGGTAGGTGTTTAATTCCAGGTTGGCATTAAACATATCTGAATTAGTTAAATCTGTACGTCTTGAGAATGAAAGGGTGTTTCTAGAAAATACTACACAATGTCTTATGTCAAATAAATGTGTTATTTATTGGATATCTGCACCCTGCCCAAAGACGTCATGCTTACCTTCACTGGAGGGTTTAAGATGGGACAGTCTTAGCAGATCTTTGTGAGACCAGCCGTTTCTCTGTTTGTATTTCGTCACAGCCAGAGCAAGGGCCATCCCACCTTTCCCATTGTACCAGTCTGCGACAGCCTTCCGCAGGGCGCGACCCCACATGCCGCATTTCATGCTTTCCTTCAGGTCTTTCTTAAACTGGATGAAAGTGAAGAGATGCGCAGGAATTCGGCAGACTTCTGCAACGGCCTTGAAGGCGGCCCGCTTCGTGCCCAGGTCGGAGCACTGGGAGCAGGCGGCCAGCGCAAAGAGCACGGGCTCCTGCCTCGCGGCTTTGCCTTCCTGGCTAAACGACTTGATCTCCTGTATCACTTCACCGCCCCTGCCGTCTTCGATCAATCTGATTAGGGCTTCGGCATTTTCCAGGCCCAACTTCTGCTCTTTGATATAGTAAGTCCCACCTTCAGAACCAAAACATAAAAACCGGTGCAGGCGATTCATATCCGTGACCTGCCACACATATCCACCTTCTGAATTGGCTATCTGCTTCTCATTAAGTGGCTGCAATTGGTTTACGGAGTCACCCATTTTTCTGTCTTTTAGGAAACCTGTCGAAAAGCAAAATATTACTGGCTATATTGACACAGTAAAAACATAAAAAGGGAAATATGAATCTATGCTTATTGAAATCTGCCATGAAATCTTTTGATTTAAATTTTTTTAAAGCTCAGTAAGTGACGACATGATTATCAGAAGCAACAACGAAGAAGTCACACCTTTGAGGCACAGTTTGTTTGTTGCCTCAGTGACTCGGCACACAGCTCAGCGTCAGGTCTGGAGGCCCAGGTGGAGGAAAAAAGGGTTAGGGACAGCAGGAACAGTAGCAGACCCTAAGATCTTAGGATCTTTATTCCCGAGTAACTCAGTAGTCATTTTTGGTTGCATAACCTGCACCCATTTCTAACTGACTCCCACTCCCTCTTGACATCTTCCTGGCAGCAATGTCCTTCGGGGGAGGCCAGGCCTGCCCAGAGCCCCCTGATTGCCCTAGCCAGTGGTTTGCAAACTCTGTACGCATCAACACTACTTTCAGTGCTAGTGAAAACACAGCATGGCCCTGACTGGTGCAGCTCAGTGGGTTGGGCGTCGACCCACAAAGCAAAAACACACCAGTTCAATTTCTGATCAGGGCATATGCCTGGGTGACAGATTCGGCCCCAGTTGGGGGCATTCAGGAGGCAACCCTGGATGGATGTTTCTCACCTTCTCTCTCTCCCTCCCTTCCCCCCACTCCAAAAATAAATAAAACCTTTAAACACACACACACACACACACCCCGGTGGACCCCAACCACTGCTCTTACAGTTTCTTTCTTAATGCAGCCTGGGTGAAGCCTAAGCATTTGTATATTTATCACAGGTTCCCAGGTGATGCCCTCAACTCTTTTGCCACGTGACTGGTATAGGCATTGGGTACGAAGCACAACCTGGACAGTGTGGCAATGGTTAAGTCTGCCGGCAAAGCCACTAGAGCCAGCTGTCAGCAACCGCAATCCCTCGCCACTTTATCCCTCTGCACTGCTTTTACTCAGGATAGCTGTTTACCCAGAAGCCTTAAGCGCCTGCCTATTCACTCCATTACAGTGCCCTGGGCTTCTCCCCATGGCACACAAAATACAACGTGACCAACAAAAACCCCCAACCTGTACTTACTGCATACTGTGGGCAAGACAGGAAGATTCTGTTCCATTAAAAAGATTTAAAATTTTTTTCTGTCCTCAGGGAAGTCACATTCTATTTGGTGAAGCAGAAATACACACAATTCAAAGCAAACTGTAATTAAATATCTAATGGAAAGGTGCTATGAATAAATAGCAGAGGATAAAATAATGCTGTCTCAATAATCTGGGAAGGCTTCTGCAGAGAAGACAGACTGAAAAACTGCCACATGAAGTTTGGGGGCAGGCATTCCAGAAAGGGGTTTCTGAAATTCTGTGCTGTGTCTTTAGACTTTAGTAAAGGAACTAATTATACTGGCAGAGCTGTAAAGAAATGCTGACAGATAAGGTAGTAGCTTAAAGAGGAATTTTGTTTTGAAGATGGTAAAAGCTTGAGCTTTTTCATATATTGTGCGGAATCCTGGTGAGTATTAAGAATTAAGAGCTAGAGAGAAGCCCTGGCTGGTGTGGCTCAGTTGGTTAAAGAGCCATCCCATAAACCAAAAGGCTGTAGGTTCAATTCCCAGTCAGGGCACCTATCTATGTTGTAGGTTTGGTCAGGGCGCAAACATGAGACAACTGATCGATGTTTCTCTCTCTTGCTCCTTCCTTTCCTCTCTCTCTAAAATCAATCAAGTCAATGAGCGTGTCCTCAGGTGAGGATAAGAAAAGAGCTAGGGAGAAAAGGTCCTTTAAAACAGAAAGAGAAGGAGGGGCACACAGACTTAAAATCAGGAGAGTCGTATCATGGACCACAGGGAGGAGAATTTCCAGCAGTGAATAACTGGGAATGTCAGATGCTCAGAGAGCAAGTAAAATAAAGCTAGAAAAGGATCCCTGGATTTGGCAAACAGGATGACGAGGGAAGAAAAATGCCAGTGGTTCCAGTGAAAAGAGGAGGGATGCAGCCTGAAAGGCCTCACAGGCGAACCACTCTCTTACAGAAGCGCAGCTTCAGAGAAAGGGCGCAGCGGAGGGAGCGAGCCCCAGGAAGAGGTGGGACAGAATGAGCTTCACAGCATCCAGAAGGGCGGAGACCGGCCCACTGACCGCTACCTCTCTCACTGAGGGTGAGGGCTGCAGGTGGCCCTAGGTTTGCACGAGAGGGGAATAAAAAAACTGAGGGAGCCACTGCAAAGAATTTAATGCCGCTAAACGTATTAAACTTCTATAGATTAAAATTTTTGGAAGAAACTAGACATCGCAATACTACCAAAAGCAGGGCCACAACGTGAAACTGGCCACGGATTCAAAGCACTGCGTCCTTCAGACTGGTAATGGACGTGAGGGGACCAAGGCAAGCCTGCCGCCCTCATGGCGCGCACCTCCAGCCAAGCGGTTGCCGTGTGGTACAGGCCTAGTATTGCCAGAGCTTTCCAATTTTTTCTCAAAGACCCAGAAATCTGGATTTTTACATGAACTCTTAAGATTAAATGTTAACGAGTGTTAACAAAGTCAAAGGAATTTTAACCCCCCTTTCTGATTATTCTCAGTTTGTGTCAAGAGCTAAAGTTTTCAGTTTGGTCTTTCTTCAACAGGCGCCATGTTAACCTGGGTTTCAAATACCTGCTGGTTTTGATGGATTTAGCATAGAACACACTTCCGAAACCACAGCAGCGATACCACAAAGGACCACCAGCAGCCCTGGGGTCCCAGGACACCCATTCTCAGTCTGGTTCCTAAGGATGTAAGCCAGACCCCTGCACCTCACAGATTTCCCATTAAAGATCCATTTACAGGGCAGAGAGTGAACTGGCATCTTCCATAGAAAGGGCAGACTCCCAGGGACCAACCTCAGGAACGTTTCATCTTTTTTTTTTTTTTTTAAATCAGACACTCGCGCCCTGGCTGGTGTGGCTTAGTAGATTGAGCACTGGCCTGCGAACTGAAAGGTCTCCGGTTCGATTCCCAGTCAGGGCATATACCCGGGTTGCAGGCTAGGTTGCTGTAGGAGCGCGCCGTGAGAGGCAACAGACGTATGTTTCTCTCCCTCCCTTCCCCTCTCTAAAAGTAAATAAATAGAATATTAAAAAGAAACCAGACACTTGATACAAATTTCGGTTTCTACTCCACATTGCACCCATGCTTGTTTTAATATAAAAGCTGTTCAGTTGTTTCAGTAAAATTTAACGTGCTGATTTCGTGCCTTCTCACAGTGCAAAGCTCACTATAACGCCAGGACGCGGGTCGTCTGAGGAGCCAGAAATCTGAGTTTTATGCACTAAAATATGTTTCCTGGAAGCCAAAGGCTTCCAGGGCGCCTCTTGGAACTCAAAAGGTTTAAAGAGTGATGCATAAATAAAGAAAACTTTTTTTTTTCAGCTACAGTTGACGGTTAATGCTCTCTTGCATCGTTTCAGGTGTACAGCACAGGGTTAGACAATCCTATACGCTACAAAGTGCCCCCCTCGTGTTTCCAGTGCCCACCTAGAACCACACACAGTCATTACTGACTATACTCCCTGTGCATAAATGTGCTCTGAATGACGTTCGCCTCGACACGAGTGTCCAGCAAGAGCCTGTTGAATGAGGGCGATTTCGTGAAAATGGCCATTTTGGGTCTAGCTCGTCATTCAATCTTGGAACCATTACAAATGCCTTCAGATCAACATGGTACCTCTTTGCAACCTCCTTTCCCTCGGAGGCGTCCCCGTCTCTTGTCCGCCACCGCGGGGGCCCAGAGGGCACGTCTGCCCCCGACTCGCTCTCTCCCGTCGTTCCCTCTGGGATAAAGCCTCCTCGCCTTCCCACCGAGATCCTCATCCCGAGCCTGACGCCGGCAACGCCGCTAGGAGGGGGTCGCGCACGGAGCAGGAGGAGGAAGCGGCGCAGGAGGAAGTCGGGCCCTCCGGGTCCCGCCGGCGGGGCGCTCAGGCCCTGCCGAGGGAGGATGTCCCACAGCGGCGCCGGGTCCCCTCCGCGGCCTGGAAGGGTGCAGAGGCCGGGAGCGCGACGAAGACGCGTCTCCTCGGCCTCCGACAAAGATGCGGGGCGAGGGACCCGGAGGGCCGACCAAGGCCTGCGCGCCACCCGGAGTCGCGCAGACTGCACAAAGGGCCCCCGCGGACCTCCCGTAGTTTCCTCACCTGTGCTCGGCGCCGGCCCTCCGACCCGCAGCGCCACCGCCACCGGGAGAGCCCTGCTCAGCGCGGGGGAACGACCAAACACGGCGGCCTCACGCGCGGGGACTGCTCGGACCCCCCACGCCGCCGCCGCGCCGCCCGGGCCTCCACCTCTGGCTCCGGAGAACGAGCCACGCCCCTCTCCTCTGGTTCGCCCTCGCTCCGGACTGGCGAGGGGCCCGGATGCGGCCCGCTCCGGCGCCCGGAAGCCCCGCCCCCTCGCTCAGGGCCCGCCCCTTCCGAAGGCTTGACGGGTGCAGCACGGCCGGGGGAAAGAGTTTCGCTGGCTCCTGGGTGGCTAGAGCGTCCTCCCGCGCCCGAGGCGCTGCAGGGGACGGCGCCCGGAGGCTGTCGGGAAGTAGGCGGGGTGACGTGGGTTGACCAGCTCCGCGGCGGGTTCGCGGAGATCAGTGGCCAGCGGCATCGGGTGCCTGGCTGGCCAGCGTCCGACGTGTTGCGGGACGGCGTGTGGCCGGGGCCATGACGGGCAATGCCGGGGAGTGGTGCCTCATGGAAAGCGACCCCGGGGTCTTCACCGAGCTCATTAAAGGATTCGGTGAGAGCCAGAGGGGACCGTCCTGGGCAGGGGGTCACAGAGGAGGCCCGAGCTGGAATTGGAGGGTCCCCTGCGGGCACGAGGCCCCGTGTCAGAAAGCAGGTGGCTCCGGGGAACTGGAGGGAACTGCGGGGCCCCGCCCCCTTCCCAGCCCCGAGCGGTCGCGTTTCCGCAGCGATTTTGAGAGTCACACCACGAGGGCAGGGACCTTGTGTTTCTGCACTGCCGCATCCTCAGGATCAGGTTCCCAATTACTTGGCTTAATTGAAATGAGTCACCCCCGCTCCCCAACGCCTTAAGCACCCCCGCCGCGCTTCCGCCGAGCGCTTCCCATCCCTGGCAGGTGCGCCCAGGTGCGTGTCTCAGGGCCTCAGTCCTGCAGGAAAAACTGGGGTGTGCCTCCTCGCGGGTGGGGTGTCGGAGGCCCCAGCCGCCCAGGACCCCGAGATTCTAGTTATTCTAAGCAGAACACCTTGAGTGTGTGAGTAGTTCGGAGGACGTCACACTCGCTGACTGCGTGCGACCGACGGGCCACTTGGCCGGCTCTGCTTCTAGCTCATCTTTGGCTGCCGGTGAAGTGTGTTTTCTTGAGCCAGGGCTGTGGCTTAGAGGCCACGTGCTGGCCTCATAATTTCTTCCTAGCTGTATTCCTCGTCTTCCACCCTGAATAATGAACACATTTGACTTTTTATCCTTTCCCTGTCCCTCTTTTTCCCAGCCTCTTTTTTGGGCAGTGCGTTTTATTGATTACATGTCCTTAAATATTATTAATTCTAGTTATTACATTAAAACTTGCACTCCGGGTAAAAATTAAACGTTGCTATCGATACCATCTACTGCAGTTAACTGAATATTTGGAATATCACTTATCAAGCGTACATTGTTCCGCTACCGTATTTCAGGCGCATTGGTAGGGTTTGGGGGTTTTAATGTGAATAAATCGTGACAGCTGTTCTACAGAACTGACAGGCTATACTGTGGTGGACTGACTAGCCATGCTGAAGTGTGAAGAAAATGTTACAGGAACACAGGCAGGAGAAAAAACAAACAGTAGTGATGTTAAAAGTGTGTGGCTTAGGGAACAGCTGGGAAAGTGACTAAAATATAATGTAACAGTCTGGAGGAGTATTTGTATCCGAAGCTGAAAAGGTAAATTGAGGCCAGGTTGTATGCCATGTTGTATCATTTGGATTGCCCTGTAGTCAGTCCCTGGGAACTTAATTATCAATGATACTCGAATGCTGAGATGACATTTTGATAATTAGAAAGGTTTACTATGTGTAGCGTGCAGGGCAGATTGGAATAATGAAGTGCGAGAAACTAGAAGTCTCTTAAAATGGTCAGAGTCTGAGCGATTGGCTTGATGCAAAATAGGGGTGGGAGAGGAGGAGGAACAGTCATTGAACTTGCTGTGTGTGAATCCACAGAAGTGCGCCCGGATGTAAGAGGGAGTGAACATGACTACGTGGTTTCTGGCCTGGGTGGCCGGTGAAGTTCAAGAGAATGGACTTGATGGACGAGAAAGATGGGTTTGGTTTTGGACATATACCAAGTCTGAGGCGTCTTGCAGGTTTAGCCCTAAAAATGTACTTTCAAAACTCTATTAGGACATATTGAAATTAACTGCTAAGAAATACAGGGGTGTATTTCTTAAGAAAAAAGTAGGTTAATAGTTGTGGGTACGGAAAAGTTTATTTTTGTATTATTAATTATATTATTTCCTATACAAACAACTGTAAACCTCCTTTTGCCCACACCAATATTATCCTAGGCAAACTTGTTTATTTTAAAATTAATTCACTCCAGTAACTATTGATTGTGCCAGTCTCCTGTGTACAGAAGAGTTGGAATTGAAAATGACTTCATAAAAGTCATGCATAAGGGAATTCATTCTTTCAAACGTGAAACATTGTATTATGAATACTATTATGAATTACTTTAAAAGTTTCTTCAGTGAGAGGAAATTACTAGCAGGTTCAGTGAATGCATAAAGACAATGTTGGTGGAATATAACATGGTAAAAGCAAAGTTTAATCAAATTAAGAAACTGTTGGACCAGACCTATACTTTTAATTGGTATGATGTACACATAATTCATAAATGCACCGCAACAAGCTGTGATAGCCTGCCAGGTGAATACGGAAGCTGTAAACTTCTGCTTCCAGCCAGGATGGAGCAATGAACTGGATTTACTTTTCCGACAACAAATCGATGACCCCACCTTCACTTGAAGAAACTAGAAAAAAAAAGAGCAAATTAAATCTAAAATAAACAGATGAAAGGAAATAATAAAGGTCAGAGTTTAAATTAATTGAGTGAAACAGAAAAGAGAAAAATACTGGAGAAAAGTCAATGAAACCAAAAGCTGTCTTCCAAAGATCAATAAAATGGATACCCCTCTATTCAGACCAATCGGGAGAGGACAGGGCACACAATGACCAATATCAGAAAGAACAGGGATGATGACCCTACCGATTCTCCAGGTATTAAAAAGATAATAGGGGGATATTCTAAACATTTTTATGCCAATGGATAGGACAAATGAAATGTATGCATTTCTGTAAAGACCTAAATTACTGAAGCTCAATCAAGAAAAAATAGATAACCAGGATAGCCTTATATTTATTAAAGAAATTGAAATTGTAATTTAACATCTCTTCAGAGAGACAACTCCAACCATAGTGGTTTCACTGGTAAATTCTATCAAATATTTAAGGAATAAATAATGCCAATTCTGTACAAATTCTCCACAAAAAATCAGAGAGGAAGGAATACTTCCTAATTTATTCCATGAGGGCCAGCATTATGCTAACAGCCGCTCTATATACTAGCTGTAGTGAATTTGGGCATGCCACTGAACATCCCTAAACCTTTCTCGCATTAATACTGGCCTTGTAGGGATTAGAGAAAATGAATTTAAAGTACTTTACATGCAGAAGGCACTGGTACCTATGGCTGCTTTTTGCTTTATGATAATACCAGCTAACACTTAGTGGGCCTGTAGAGAGTGCCAGCACTGTATTGTTTCATGCACCACAAAGCTCTCGTGTGTGCCTCACAACCCTGTCGGAATGGGGAGCAGAGAGGTCACATGGTCACACGGCCAGCAGATGGCAGTCTGGAAGGCAGGCTGCTCTCACACCGTCCCTGCCACCCGTCCCACTGGAGCAGGGTTTCCGGGCCTTGGCACTGCTCACATGTCAGACCAGATAAAGCTTTGCTTTGGGGGGCTGCTTCTGCAACGTAGGGTATTTAGCACCTGCAGCTCCTACCCAGTAGATGCCTGAAGGACAATAGTGACGGTAGAAATGTGACATGGTCCGTGAGGGGCACTGTCCAAGAGGAAGAGCATGTTTGGGGGACGCTGAGTAGCTGAAAATAGAATAGAATAGAAATTTAGGAAAAGAGAGTAATATGTGATATAACAGTCTCTGTGAAGTGGTAGATATTTATTACTCCTTTTTTTAAAAATATTTTATTTAATTTTAGAGAGGAAAGGGAGGGGGAGAGAGAGAGAGAGAGAAACATCAATGTGCAGTGGCTGGGGGTCATGGCCTGCAACCCAGGCATGTACCCTGACTGGGAACCGAACCTGTGACACTTTGGTTCCCAGCCTGTGCTCAATCCACTGAGCTACGCCAGCCAGGGCTATTACTCCTTAAAAAGGGTACAGTAGTAAGAAAAGGGGGCCAAGGGCAGAGCTGGGAAAGCTTAGCGACAGGGTGAAAAAAGTGGGTGAGAAAGAGCCAGAGATTGCAAGAAAATCCAAGAAGGAGCAGTCATGGAGGAGCCTGTCAGTGAAAAGGAACTCTTGAAACTTGTTCTGGTTATAAGAACAATGTCCTCCCGTTGTAAATTAGAAAATAGTAAAGGACGTAATAGGATTAGACTGTGACCTTGATCAGTTTTACCATTTTAATTTCTCATGTCTTACTTTCCCCAAATAGTCATTTCTTTTAGTTAGTATTTAATGGTGGAGGGAAAAAAAATGAGCTGCGTATTTTGTTTTCTGAAGAAACGATTTCTTATTTCAGGTTGCCGAGGTGCCCAAGTAGAAGAAATATGGAGTTTAGAACCTGAGAATTTTGAAAAATTGAAGTGAGTATAATTTTAGCTGCATTGAAAATATGTCTATACTTGAGTAAACTTTTTTCTGTTCATTTACTTGGATTACCCTAGGCCAAATATGTTATCTCCTTGAAGTCTTTTTTTCAATCTGGTGAGGTAGGAATTCTATTCTCCTACTATAATCAAGAACCTGAGACTCCTAGATAAATAGTAACTTGCGAGGAATTAAAAATTAAGTCCCTATAATTCCATATCAACAAAGTAATGGGTTGATTTTTTTACAACATTCACTTAGAGATCATGGAATAGAACATGGAAGACATTTTAACATCAAAGACATGAACGAGAGATCTGTCAACAAAAGCATACTTTTTTAAAATATATTTTATTGATTGTGCTATTACAGTTGCCTCATTTCCTCCCTTCACTCCCCTCTACCCTGCACACCCTCTCCCACCCACTTCCCCCCCTTTAGTTCATGTCCATGTGTCATACTTATAAGTTCTTCAGCTTCTACATTTCTCATAGTATTCTTACCCTCCCCCTGTCTATTT